GAATGGCCATGCCACCAGCACTGTGACTCTGACAGATAGACAGATGTCAGTAGTAAAGGTTTCTGGGAGACACGCTTGCTTGCACAAGGTACATTTGGGAGGCTTTGGTGTTGTCCATACCATCTCTTGACTGAAGGTCATCTGGCACCTCCCCTTTATTATCAGGCGTATAGATCCAAGAGTGTCCAAGTGGAGGCCCAGTAAACATTAGCTCAGAAAACACTGGAGTTAGTAAGGAGTCAAGAGATTTAAATACCAAGAGGAACAGTGCTATCTGACTACCTGCTTTATAGATTCTCTGGAGACATCTGCATCCTGTGTTGGTACCCGGCTGCTGATCCAGGAGCTGCTCTTCACCCTCCACCTTTGCTTCCTCTGCTCTCCCGGGCTGAGTGGCAGTGTCTTGAGCACACTGACAGTCCTGTCTGCTCTGTGTGCATGCTTTCTTTCTGGGTTTGCCTTGGTAGGCTAACCACATTCTCTGAAAGGCTGACAGGCTCTTTGGTGACTGTGTAACTGAAAATATTCTGTCCTGGACTTTTTTTTTTTAAATCTTGTTGGTGCTATTTGTCTTGTTATGTTTTGGTGGGTTTTTTTTCTTTTGTTTGTTTTGAGACAAGGTCTCACTGTACTACCCCGCCCTGGCCTGGAACTTACAAAGGAATGCTTGCCTCTGCCTACCAAGTACTGGGATTTAAAGTTCGTGCCGCCACACGTGGCTTGTCCTCACATTTTGAAGCCTTCTCTTTCTCCCAGGCATTCTGTCTTTCTGTATGTGAAGTAGGCAGCTGTTCTGACCTTCACCCCTTCCTTTGTGGCCTGTCCTCTCCCTGAGGGCTTGTGAGAATCCATCCCCACATCCCCAAGCATCCTCAAGCAGCATAGTGATCCACCTCAGTTGAGTCTGACTTTCTCCACTCACAAGTACTTATTTGTCTGTGACTAGGAGACAGTACTACCTTAAATCCAGCCTCCTGGATTTATCTTCCAGTTTTCTTACTGTATCTCTCCTATTTTCTGACTTTTTTTAAAAAAAAGATTTTATTTATTTTGTTCTTATGCATATAAATGTTTACCTAAATGTGCCTGTGTACCACATGCATGCAGTACCCACAGAGACCAGAAAGGGCGTCTGATCTCCTGGGAGTGGAGTTCCAGAAGTTTATGAGCTGCCCTGTGGATGGTGGCCATCAAACCTAGGTCCTCTGAAAGAGCAGCCAGTGCCCTTAACCACGGAGCTCCAGCATCTTTTTATTTATTTATTTTTTTTTCTTTTTTTTTTTTAGATTTATTTATTTATTTTTATTTATGAGTACACTGTAGCTGTCTTCAGACACACCAGAAGAGGGCATCGAATCTCATTACGGATGGTTGTGAGCCACCATGTGGTTGCTGGGATTTGAACTCAGGACCTCTGGAAGAGCAGTCAGTGCTCTTAACCGCTGAGCCATCTCTCCAGCCCCTATTTATTTATTTTTAATTAGAGACTGTCTCATTGTGTTGTATCCTTGGCTTTCTTCTCTTGCGAGGACCTCAGTTCAGGTTTCTGGAACGCATGTCAGCTGGCTCCTAACTCCAGCTCCTGGGGAAACCTGATGTCCCTGGCCTCCATGAGCACATGCACACATCAGGACACACATGCACATAATTAAGAATAAATCTTTTAAAAAGATGAAGTAGCGTTTGTGTACTAGACCAATGGGTTTTAGCTAACGCTGTGTATACTGACCTGAGGAGAAGTCCTCTGAGTGGAAGTGTATTTGCTACTCAGTCTGTGTTGTATGACAGTGCTCAGTGTATATATATATTTGTAGTTTCTGTTGCTTCATAGAAATTTTACATTTTTTTCCCTTTCTTAGGACAAAGTTAAACTATAACCCTCCAAAAGATGACGGATCCACTTATAAGATTGAACTTGAAGGGATATCGGTAATGGTTATGAGAGAGATCCTGGATTACATCTTCAGTGGGCAGGTATGGCGAGACGCAGGGGCAAGATGCAGGGGTGAGACCTGGCAGAGACTTAGCAGCTTTCAGAGTGGCACTGCCACATCATCTTCTGCCATCGGGGGCATCTATTGGCATCTCCCTGGGGATGGCCCCACATTCACACTCTTCCAGACTCTGTCCCTAAAGGAGCAACCCAGATCATAGACCAAATCCCAGGTCGTGCTCTTCTGAGCTCCACCCTTCAGGCTGAGGTTAGAAAACAAGGTGCACCCTTCACCACCGACTTGCCGCCACATCTTGGATCTGGTCTTGCACAGCATCCACTCTGTCTGGCCCTTCTCTGTCTCCATGGAGATAGAAGCATCTGTCCCTGGGACTTGTTGTACAGAAACAGTTTCCTGTGGGACACGGCAGTGAAAGGCAGCTCCCATTGAAAGCTACCCTTAGTAGAGTATCAAGTACTGGTGAAGTTTCGCTGGTGGTCATGTGCGTCACCCCACCCCTGCCATGCTTCCTGCCTTCCCTCTCTGTGCCACAGTATCTCTGGAGATGTGATAATAGGCAAGCAGGAAATGGGAAGCCACTAGACCACTTTCTTTTCCTGCCTCCCAGCCTTGTCCTCTCTATGTTCTTGGGTTCTAGCATAGGAGTCTTAAGACTCTTAGCAAGGACACAGATGGTTCAGTGGCTGAGAGCTGGCTAGGCCTCTGGTCCCCAGCACCCACAGCAGGTGGCCCACAACCACCAGTGACTCCAGCTCCAGGGGATCTTCTGGCCTCCATGTGTGCTTGTGCATGTGCAACACACTCACAAGTGCGTGCACACACACACACAAGCACACACACGCACAAATAGGAATAAATCTTTTAAAAGCAAACAGAAAAGACAAGTCGGGTAGGTATATTGGCCAGAGAGCAGAGGAGTGTGTGGTACGTTTAGGTGTGTGAAACTGTGTTCTGCCTCATTTTCTCCAAGATCTCGTCCTTCACCCTGCCCATTGGCGCCTTCATCACTGCTGTTTCCCGACTCCTCTTTTTGAAAGGCCTGTTTTCTCACAAGTTTTTAAGTGTTTGGAGTGTATCGCCTCTCTTTTCTGAATGCCTCCGTTCTGTCCACACACTCAGGGATTCCAGTCCTGTTGCAGTGTGCGGTGTGATTTCATAGCATTGCGAACACAGTGTAGGGAAACTCTCCCCTAAACACAAGGCAGCGGGTGTGCATATGTGCGGTTGTTAAACTGAATGAAGTTAGAGCCCCTAAAATCCTAGAGACCCTGCACAGCAGGAGAAACCAGGCCGCCTGCTCTCACTGGCAGGGTGAGGTCTCTGTAGTTGTGAGCATAGCCAGTGACAGGCCACCGAGAGCATGCTCTGTGCAAGCTTTGACTGCTGTTCAGGGACTATCTGCAGATTGACTGTTGGGATTTGTCCCAGCCTAAAGTGTAGAACCCAGGTGGCAACTTAAGATGTGGCAAACTCTGAATTAGCTGTTGGTTTCAAGATGTGGTCTAGTGCGTTTTCATGGGTTTTATTTAGATAGTCTGTAGTTGTTCCCTCTCTGCTGGCTAAACTTAATATTCCTGGGTCTGGGGATGTGGCTGAATGCTAGAGCCAGTCCCAGCATGCATGAGGCCCTACCCACAAGGTACTGGGACCTCCCACATCAAACATGAATTAAGAAAACGCCCTCTAAGCTTGCCTGCAGCATGATCTTATATTTTCTCAGTTGATGCTTGTTCCTCTCAGATGCCTCTAGCTTTTGTTAATTTGACATAAAACTAGGCAGCACACATACAAAAAATGTAAAAAGAAGAAAAGGTGGACTGGAGAGATGGCTCAGTTGTTAAGAGCACTCACTGACTGCTTTCCCAGAGGTCCCAGGTTCAATTCCCAGCACCCACATGGCACCTCACAACTGTCTGTAACTCCAGTTCCAGGTGATCTGACACCCTCACCCAGACATACATATAGGCAAAACACCAATGCACATAAAATAAAAAAGAAGTTTAAAAAGAAGAAAAAGTTATGTCTTTGAGACAGGAAATTTTCCCTATTTATTTTCCAAGGTTCTGTGCTCAGTTTCTGAGGCAATTAGTGATACCACATGTTTAAGTCTGTGATATGAAAATGTATAGAGTCTGGTAAATTGGTTTTTGCTGGACCCTGAACTCCCTTGTTTCGGAAGTAGTGAGGCCTGAGGAGGTGTGTGTGTCGTTGCTTTACTGTTGCACAGAGGAGCAGGGAGAGAAAGAAGTGTCAGTCAGAAAACTGGAGACAATTTATCAGAAGTAAAGAGTTGTAAGGAGAGAAACTTGTACGTTATGGGTTTGATCCAGAAGGTGGTTTGAGGCTCAAGCATTGAGTGTGGGGCTACTGAGGAGATCCAAAGCTTGCACCCACCTGGCATTCCACTCGGCAGACAGGAACAGATAACTCCAAGTTCCATTCGTAGCAGAACTGTCCCTATATGCTCAGTCAGGTTTTTGTGTGAGTTGCAGAGGTGAGCACGTGGGTAGGTTCCCTCAGCAGTAGATCGTGCTAGCACAGGAGGGCAAAGCCTGGACAGGTGGAATCAAAATCAGACGCATCGGCAGGGGTGGTAGCACACGCCTTTAATCCCAGCACTCAAGAGGCAGAGGCAGGCAGATCTCTGAGTTTGAGGCCAGCCTGCTGTACAGAGCAAGTTCTAGGACAGGGTACCCAGAGAAACCTTGTCTCAAAAAGACAAACAAATAAACAAACAAACAGGTCAGACCTATCTGCTGTAAGGTAAGGACCCTCGTTGGAGAGATGGCTCAGAGTTTAAGAACACTGTCTGCTCTTCCAGAGGTCCTGAATTCAATTCCCAGCAACCATATGGTGGCTCATAACCATCTATAATGAAATCTGGTGCCCTCTTCTGGTGGACAGGCATACATGCAGACAGAACACTGTATACATAAGGAAGGAAGGAAGGAAGGAAGGAAGGAAGCAAGGAAGGAAGCAAGGAAGGAAGCAAGGAAGGAAGCAAGGAAGGAAGCAAGGAAGGAAGGAAGCAAGGAAGCTTTAAGAAAAAGTTTAAGGCCTCTTGATGCCTCAGAGTATTGAAAGATGTGCAGTGTATGGTCAACAATACCTAGTCATCTTTGACCTACATCCCTGGGGATTAGGGGACTGGAGAGCTGGCTCAGTGGTTAAGATGCTTTCCTACTCTTGCAGAGGACCTGAGTTCAGTTATGACACCCATGTTGGCATCTCACAACTGCCTATAACTCCAGCTCCGGGGGATCCAGGGCCTCTGACCTCTGCAGGCACCTGCATCCATGTGCTCATACACACATTTAAAACTAAATTTTTAAAAATAAAAGAAAGAACTGGGGATTTCCTGTGGACCAGACTACTCAGGTAGTAGTTTGGGGGTTTGGTTTGGTTTGGTTTGGTTTGTCTGGACGCAGCTATAAAATGCTTGTGGTAATCTTACAGATCAGGTTAAATGAAAATACAATCCAGGATGTTGTGCAGGCAGCCGACCTGCTACTGCTGACGGACCTTAAAACCCTGTGCTGCGAGTTCCTGGAGGGTTGCATAGCGGCAGAGAACTGCATCGGCATCCGGGACTTTGCCCTGCACTACTGCCTGCACCATGTGCATTACCTGGCCACCGAGTACCTGGAGACCCACTTCCGGGACGTCAGCAGCACTGAGGAATTCCTGGAACTGAGTCCTCAGAAGCTCAAGGAAGTGATCTCCCTCGAGAAGCTGAACGTGGGCAACGAGAGATACGTGTTTGAGGCGGTGATCCGGTGGATAGCACACGATGTGGAGATGAGAAAGGTGCCTTCCCCTCAGGACACGGCCTTCGGTTTCCTTCTCGTGCATGTGTTTGTTTTACTTCCCGGGATGGGTAGGGATGTGGTCTGTCGGTCTCAGGCTATTAGCAGGGGTCCTTCTGGTCTACCCATATGCCAAGGAGGAACACTCCCAATGCTGGCAGACCCAGGTCCTCAAGTATCCAAGGCCTAGGTTCTGAACAGACCCAAAGGCTCACACTCCAGCCCTGAGAGCCAGGAGCCTGTCTGTCCAGGCTGTTTAGTCAGACTTGGAGCTGTAGATGCTCGGGTTGGAGGCTTCTTGTTGGGGCTTTAATTGCCAGTGGCCCTGGCATTTGACGGCTGTTATAATCCTGGGCCTCTAGCAGCAGTGGGCAGCAGGGCTCCCACCTACAGCTGTTACCACTCCTGAGGGCCCTCAGGTCTTGAGAGCCTCAGTTCTACAAGGTTGAATGTATGTCTGTCAGGCCTAGGATATCTGAGACACTTGGATTTTACATCTTAGCAGCTCTCTGGAACTCCTCCATTAACGGGGCCCATAGTTCCTCTTCTTAGCTCCTCACAGCCTTCCTCACAGTTTCCTGCGCCCCAGTCCTGGTCACTTGATGGACATCTTCAAGTGTCTTACTGCTGCTCTCTCTGCCCAGCCACCACCAGTTCATTTTCTTCCATTCTGTCTCCTGTGTCACAGTTCGTGTGGGCTAACAGTTAAGATCCAAACTGGGAATGCAGGGTCACTGAAGGAGAACCTTCTGTGGGGGCAGGCACAGGAGAGGAACTCCCAGGAGCTATGAAAGGTTTCCTGTATAGCCAGAAAGGAGGGATTGACATAGTGTTTGGGATAATGATAGCCATCCTTCAGGACTGTTAGTAAGGTACAGTCCCTCATGTTTGTGTCAGAGAGGAGATGGCTATAATTGTGCCTGTCACCGCAGGCTGTCATACCAGTGAAGGACTGTGTGCACTAACCCCAGGCTGGCCACCGGGGACATGTTTCCACCCTGGCCTGAGGGAAAATGGCTGCTGAAGGTTAGTGAGGCTTGGGATGGACAAAGGTCCAGCTCAGACTGTCTGAGCTGTTTGTGGCGAAGACCGCGCTTGCTGGAGCCAGAGTTTGCTTCAGCAGCAAGCAGCAGTGTTGCCCCTCAAAGGCATCTACAGACTAGTTAAAGCAGTGGACTGGCATGAAGGAGGGCTAGCTAGCTGCTTAGCTGACAGTCCTTTACTCAAGGAGCCAAGGTACCTGGTAAGGGTCTAACCATTGTCAGGTGGCCCCAGCCCCCAGCATCTTAGCTGATTTGGAGAAAAAAATTAAAATTACAAAGGGATGCTTAGCCAGGCAAAGGCAGATGCCTTGATCCCAGAAGCAGGTGAGTCTCTTAGGTCAAGGACAGCCAGAGCTATATGAGATTCTATCTGAAATTTAATAAACAAAAACTGGGTGGAGGAAGTCTAGGAGTGACCGCTGGTGACGGGCCTCAGAGAGGGTTAGCCTTTCGGTCCCCATTGAAATCCAGCAGGAGACGGAGCTTGCTTTCAATTCTCTCCGGTCACCTGGTTCAAAACAAGAAGTGTGCTATGCTGGTTTCGGAGAAGAGATTTGGAATGCGTGATTGCTCTGCTCATTGTTCCTGTCAATACAGACTCCCGTCTTAGTGATTTTCTTGTAGTTTGCAAATCCTGTAAGCCTGTGAGGACATACACCTAGAAACCACGCCGTGGTCTCAGCTGCAGTTAGACCTCCTAACTGATCCACATTAGGTAACTAGGGAAGGGTAACACTCACAGGGGCTGCTGGGAGACCCTGCTCCTCCTCAGCCTGCTGGACCATCTCTTGCCTCAGAGGTTTGGGTTGGCCTGGTTACTAGGGAATGTTACAATTCTTTGTCCTTTGGTGAATCTGACTTCTCAGAACATGGAAATGTATGTTTGAAGTTATTCAAGGGTTTCCCCTTACCCACAGAGGCCACACTTGATGATAAGTTGATCAAATCCATCACCAAATCACCCAGAGCATGGTCAAGTGTCAGAGCTAGCCCCTGAGACCAAAACTACCCCAAGCTATGAGACAGTTTTGAGCCATGATCATTGCAGGAATTACTACACACTTCTGAGGATTTTTTTTTATCTTTGGCTTTGCTGACTGTCTTACAATATTAATGTTAATCTGTTGCCTGAGTTTACCACAGTGGACTTGCTGTCACCATCCTAGGGCTTCTGTAAGTGTGTGGCTTAGTCACAATTCATCCAGGCGTGTGAGACAACACAGCACCACTCGCTTAACCCACTGGGGCGGGACCTGCAGTGTGAGAAACACTCTTGACACATTCAAACCTTTCTTCCCAGAGACTGTGGACAGCCAGAGAAGTAGAGAAGGGTCACAGAGCAGAGTGGCACATCCTGTCATCTCAGGACTTAGAGGCAGGAAAGGAGACATGGCTAAGCAGTTAGGAACATCTGCTGCCTTTGGAGAGGACCCAACTTGAGTTCCTAGCACCCACACCAAGCCGCTCACAACAGCCAGTAACTCCAGTTCTGGAAAATCAGACGCCCTCTTCTGACCCATAGGTACCTGCACACACACGTGTACACACACACACACACACACACACACACACACACACACACACACAGGAGTGTGGAGAGGAGAGGAGTGGGCTGGTGTGCATACTCAGACAGGACTGACAGACACGATAGTATCGGCTGATAGACTGTTAACAGACACCATCTGCTGTGAACCAGAAAGTGTGTTTCAGAAGACCTGTGTCATCCCTGTCTGTCCCTCCTCCTCCTTCATCCACAGGTCCACATGAAGGACGTCATGTCAGCACTGTGGGTTTCAGGGCTGGATTCCAGCTACCTACGCGAGCAGATGCTGAATGAGCCCTTGGTGCGAGAAATTGTCAAAGAGTGTAGCAACATCCCGCTCAGCCAGCCGCAGCAGGGGGAGGCCATGCTGGCCAGCTTCAAGCCCAGGGGCTACTCAGAGTGCATCGTGACCATTGGAGGGGAAGAAAGAGTGTGAGTGTGGTGGGGGAAGGGAGGAGGAAGGGGAAGGACAACAGAAAATGCAGGATAATTTCTGTGTCTGAAGTGTAACAGTGATGACTGTCGTAAATGTTTAATCATCTGTAGAATACTGAGATTGACAGTGGTTGTCATGAGAGGAACTGGAAAACATCAGTTATGTGTTTCCCTAGGTCACGGAAACCCACAGCTGCCATGCGATGTATGTGCCCTCTCTACGACCCCAACCGGCAGCTGTGGATTGAACTGGCTCCTCTGAGCATGCCAAGAATTAACCATGGAGTTCTTTCAGCAGGTACTCTCTGTTCAATTTTAGCAGAACCCTGGCCAAGTAATACCTTATTTCAGGGTGGCACAGATGCACAGGTATGATTTTTTGCCTGGTGGTGCACAGCTTTAGTCTCGGTACTCAGGAGGCACAGGCAGGAGGATCTGTGAGTTTGAGACCAGCCTGGTCTGTATAGTGAATTCAGGACAGCTAGAGATATGTAGTTGCATACTGTCTCAAAAAAAGTTTAATTCTAAGGGGTGTAGCTCAGATGGTTGAGTGGCCTGGGTTTAAGTTCTAGCACCACCCAATATGGTGGTGATATATGGTTCTAGGGATCAAACTCAGGCTGTCAGCCTTTGCAGCAAGCTCTCTTACCTGCAGAATCATATTGCCTTCCCTCTTGTCTTCCTCATCCACTTATTTTCCCATGTTCCTCAGCCCTTGGATGTCTCGTCGAGCATGTCAGAGCTTTCTCGACACTCTCTGCTTGTCTTTGTCAGCTCTCTCCTTTTTCCTGGGTGTGGGGGTTCTCTGTGCAGTCTTGGCTGTCCTGGAGCTCACTCTATAGACTAGGCTGGCCTTGAACTCACACAGATCCTCCTGCCTCTGCCTCCTGAGTGCTGGGATTAAAGGTGTGTGCTATTACTGCCCGGCAGCTTCTGTCTTTTTGCCTCTCTGACATGGGGTTGATGGTCGCTTTTGATCTGTCTCAATGACTTTACACTCTGAGAGCCTGTTAGGCCACCCGTGGGATTTATTTCTGTGTCTCTTTGTGAGTGGCTCTGTGTGCAGTCCGTCATTCAGTAGCTGTGTTCCTCTGTCAGTGGCGCCCTGTGTTTCTTGGGGTTGTGGTGACTTTTGCTGCTTTGTCTTCCTGGTCACCCAGTACTTCGGGTCTTTGCAGCTCTGTCTCCGGTGTTTGCTTCTGCTCTTATTCCATAGGTCCAGAGCTCTTGCTGTGCCTGAGAGCCTTTGCTGGGTGCTCTTACTGGTAGGAATGATTTCCTAGACAAGCAGAAGGTTTAAATCAGTTGAGCTGGCCAAGGTGGGAAAAGGCACGTCCCACCACGCCTGACGACCTGAGTTCAGTCCCTTGGACTCACAGGGTAAAAGGAGAGGAACAACTCCTGCAAGTGTCCTCTGACTTCATACATGATCTGTGGCATGTGCACATATGTGCACACTCTACATATTTTTATTTTAATCTTTTGAGAGTGTCATACATGAGAACATTGTATTTATATTATTCCTATCCCTCCCTCTGTTTTCTCCGCCTCTTCCCATGTCCCATGTCCCCTCTCAGTGACCTCCTCTTCTATGATTTATGTATGTGTATATGTGTGTATGTATGTATATACATATATGCCTGTATATAAATATATAATATATGTAAATATATTATAAAAGTATACCTGTATGTTTTATAAATTATGTTTATATATATATAAATATATAGGGATGGATGGATAGATAGATAGGGAAAATCTCCTGAGTCAGTTAGAGTTGACTGTCTGTACATGTGCCTAGGGTTGACTATTTAGGATTGGGAAACCTACTAGGGACTAATCCCTGAGGAAAACTGATTCTCCTCGGTATCCATTGACCATCTCTGGAGCTTCACCTAGAGGTATGGGGGCCCTTATGTAATTTCCCCCGTCCATGTTGGCATGAGGACTAATCATGCAGTCAACTGTTGAGAGTTCATGGACGCAGCTTCCCTGTCAGGTCTAAAAGACACTGCCTTGCAGCAGGCATCTGCCTTCCGACTCCTAAGTCTTCCCCACCCTCTCGTCCATGATGTCCCCTGAGCCTTGGGGGTCGGGCTTGTGTTGTAGATGTCCCAGTGACGGTCGAACACCCGTGGTCATTTGTTTCCTGCGTTTTGGCCAGCTGTGCTCTCTGCACTAGGCTCTATCTGCCGCAGACAGAAGCTTCTTTGATGAGGCTGAGAGCTACGCTTACCCAGAGAGTGCGAATGGCATCAAATGTGATTTTTTGTTTTGTTTTGTTTTTTTGAGACAAGGTTTCTCTGTGTAGCCCTGGCTGTCCTGGAACTCACTCTGTAGACCAGGCTAGCCTCGAACTCTCGAACTCAGAGATCCGCCTGCCTCTGCCTCCCAAGTGCTGGGATTAAAGGCGTGCGCCACCACCGCCCAGTGTCAAATGTGATTTTAAAGAAGGAAGTTGAGTGCTGGTTCCAGCTGGCCCCCTTACTTACCATTTCCTCATTTGTACAGTGTTGGGGATAAAACTTGGGACCTTGTCTGTGCTCATCACGTGCCCCAGACTGACCTCACTTACCCACATCACTACCCCAGCAGCAGGCTCAACAGTTAATCTTGCTGCATGTCCAGTGTCCTGTGCGAAGAATCCCTGTGACCTTGAGAGTAGATGTGGGCTGTAGGTCAGATGCTGTTGAGACTCAGAGCTAGGGGATGAAGTGAGGAGCTGAGGTGGCCCGGAGCTGCCTGAGGTGGCCCTGAGCTGCCTGGTGACTGGAGGGTGGGTCACCTCCCTCCTCCTCCTCCTGTAGACTGTGTGGAACAAAGCAGAATAACCAGAATGACTAACAAGTTTGCTGTCGTCAAGGAGCAAGAAGACTGCCGGGGTTGGGGAGGGGAGCTCTAAATGCCCGGCCACTACTGCACCATGCCATCTGCTGGAGTGTCCTGTGTGTCCCCTGTGCTTCTTACAGAAGGATTTCTGTTCGTGTTGGGGGGCCAAGATGAAAATAAGCAGACGCTGAGCTCGGGAGAGAAGTATGACCCAGACGCCAACACGTGGACTGCGCTCCCACCCATGAATGAGGTATGGTGCAGTTGTCTCCGGGTGTGTTTCTTTTCTCTCTGCAGTTTTATTGGGTGGGGGTTTCCATGTGGGGACAGAAGGGGTAGCCTGGCCTCACCCTGCCTGGAGCCCTATTCTCCTGCATCTCCATCTTCTCCCTGCCTCCTCCTGGCCTCCTGCCTAGCACCACCTCCCTGCAGAGACCTGTCCTCACCTCCCGTACTGCCTGCTCGGTCACTAGCTGCCTTCCCACCACCTTCCTCTCTCTGCTGTGCCCACCCCTGCACAACCTGGCTTTACATGTTCCTCTGAGACTCCATGAGCCAGGAATTTTCTGTGTTCTGTTTGCTGTGGGTAAATGATAAGCACCTCAGCTTTCTGGAATTCCTGATACTCGGGCATGCCCTGTCCTCTCTGCTGCCTCTCCTGGCCACAGGTAGTCTACACGACATGGTTTTTGCCACCTTTCCCAGTCACCTCAGAAACCTGCCCGCACAGAAGTAATACCATGGAGCCAGCTGTCCTTGTAGGCGCTCTTCTCAGTTCTGTGGGTTAAGCACAGCATCTCTGCCGATGAACCTGCATCTTTTGTCCCTGGTCCTGAGGAGCAACTGCCTCCGTCTGTTGACCCAAGGAAGCCACACACAGTGTGGAGACATTCCAAGGAGAAACAGTGTCAACAAGTCTCCTCGTTGCTGGAACACTGGGATAAAGTACTGTGGACTATCCACTTTCGCCCACCAAGGTTTGCCATGTCGTTCCAGGCGAGACACAACTTTGGGATCGTGGAGATAGACGGCATGCTGTATGTCCTCGGAGGGGAGGACGGGGACCGCGAGCTGATTTCCATGGAGTGTTACGACATTTATTCCAAAACCTGGACCAAGCAGCCTGACTTGACCATGGTTAGGAAGGTGAGCGCCTCAGTCTGCTCAGCTGGCTTCAGAGTCGTGGTCTCCTTCTGGGGTTGGCTGGTGCAATGGGAAAGCTCACCCCAGGGCCTTGCTTAGTACTCTAGTGCTGAGCAGAGTCCTCGGCACACATCCTCATTTTTTTTTTTTTTTTTTTTTTTCTTTTTTTTTTTTTTGTTGATGAAGATTTATTTTATTATCATCATTATTTTTTTATTTTTTTTTTTATTTTTTTCTCAAATCGTAATTAATTCACACAGGGGTTATAAACACAGAAAGGCAGGATGTGGGGAAGGGAATGACACTGGAGTGTGGGTGTTCAGGGGGAATACAGATATCTTCAGAACCGGGTATCGGCTGGGTGAAGGTTCAGGGGACAATTCACTATGACTCTGCCTATGACTAGCTTGTCCTTATCTAAGTTGGTATTGTCTGCCAAGGCTACCTATTTACAAGGTCTATTACTACTCAGGCTTATAAATTTCCACAGAAGCTGCCTGTTTACATTAGCTTATAGCCATCTGTTTCAATGTTTTTCCACTGAGACCCAAGACTTGGTGTTAGTATACATGTTTGACAGGCCTATTGCTGATTTTTGGCCTATGGCTGGTTTTAGGCCTACAGTATGTGTAAGCAGGGCTGCCCCTGACATCTCCTCCCTTCTCTAAGTATAGAAGGGCTGTGGCAATTCTAAACTTGCGAAGGCGGGCATAGAGGCCTGACCTCCAGTATTTGAAGGGGACCTTGTAATGGCTCTAGTCCCCCTGTCGTTGTCCAGTGAGGCATGAGGGCCATACCCATCCCGATGTCTTTTTCGTGGAGAGGGGATACTTTTGACATCAACCCCTATGCAGTCAGGCTTGTCTCTCAGGGAACCCAGATAGATATTTTTATCTTTTATTTATATTCCCTTGCAGTGCTTAGCCTTGCAGCCTAAGCAAGAATTCAGATCGCCTGTCAGAGGGGGTTCTGGGTGGCCCCTCTCTGCTTGGTCTAGGGGCAGAAGTCCCCCCTTTTAGGTTGGGTGGAGATGGGTTTTGGAAACACCCTGTATAAAGTAACAACCTCATCTTGAGTCTCATGGTCCTCCATAGCTAACTTATGATAATGTATCTGTGTAGGTTTTGCTACTGAATTATTTATCTGTTTTATCACAGAGTTAGTCCGCCTATTTGAGGGCCAGGGACCAGCGGAAAAAAGCAAAAAGAACCCAAATAATGGTCCCAAGATGGGAGGAAATAGGGTTGACAACCTTGGAGAGGCTGCAAACCAATTCTTGTACCAGCATTCATCTGTCTCTTTCTCTCTCTGATTTTTCTTAGGGCCTTCACTACCTATTTCATGCTCTCTTTAACCCTCCTTGTCTTGTCTATATAAAGGCAACCTTCTTCTTTGAGGGTTGTACACAGTCAAGAGCTGTATACAGCCTTTTCTATTGTACTAGAGTAAATCAAGTCCAATAAGGATCTTTGCGATTTTAGGAGGTCTCTTCAGACGGCGAAACGAGGGATTTCTTCAGATTAGTGATGTCAATCTCTAGCTGTTTGTTGTTCTTGTCAGTGGCCCTTCAAAGGTCTGAGTAGTATAAGTTTGGAGGCCAGCATCTGGATTAGAACTTCTAACAGCAGACATCACGGGTGATTCATTTTTACCTGGGATGCTGCCTGAGTTAAAGCTCCTGGGAGACCCTCTTTCTCTCAGTTTTCTGGGGTTGGGTACGGAGCTGCCGCCTATGACCTGCTCTATGCTCGGGCCCAGACCAGAAGTCCACATCCTCATTTCTTAAGTGTGCCTTTGGCACAACAGAAAATGCTCCGAGGATCCAGGCCCTAGAATTCTGTCTCTGTTGGCAGCTTGCCTTCATGTCAGCAGTCAGACATCTCAGCAGGAAAGAGCCCATGCGAGCGTTGGTCTGGCTCTGAACAGCAGTGCTGTGTTGTCTGGAGTAGATACTTGGGAACAGCTGGATCTCTCCCCCTTTCCTAATGTGCTCTACAAATGAAAGGCTGTGATGGCTTCTGCCTGTGAGCCTCTGTCATTTAGACTCGGGTTACAGGCAGAGCTCCCACAGTCCTGGCCATGGCTCTGGTCCATGCTGTGGATATCCTGTCTTCTCTTACTGTGTATACTTCTGTCTTAGGATTTACTGCTGTGAACAGGCACCATGACCACGGCAACTCTCGGAAGGACAATATTTAATTTGGGCTGGCTTGCAGTTTCGAGGGTTTAGTCCATTATCATCAAGGCAGGAGGCATGGCAGCATCCAGACAGACGAGATGCTGGAGAAGGAGCTGAGAGTTGTACATGTTGATTCACAGGCAGCATGGGAAAGACTGTCACGCTAGGCAAAGCTTGAGCCTATGAAACCTGAAAGCCCACCCCTCAGTGACACACTTCCTCCAGCAAGACCACACCAACTCCAACAAGGCCACACCCCCTAATAGTGCCACTCCCTGTGGACCTATGGAGCCATTTTATTCAAACCACCACACCATCCAGCTAAACAGTTGTGACAGCAACTGAGCAACTTATTCTTCCAAAATCCTAACTCCTGGGAATGTAAACACTGGAGGAAGGAGATAGATGCCAGAAGACCCTTCCGTTCCCCGTGTCACCCAGTGTGGTATGGGTGGAACTCACAGCCTGTGCATACCAGGCAAGTGCCACACCACTGCCTACAATGCCAGTAAAAAGTTAGATGATGGGGACATCAAGATGGCTCTGTGGGTAAAGGCGCTTGCTGCAAGCTTCACCATCTAACTGACCTGATATGTCAGAGTCCACATGGTGGACAAAGGGAGCTAGGTCCAAAAAACCCCATATTTTATAGGATTTTGGGCTGAGATCCAATGTAGTGGCGGAACCCTGGCCTGGCACATTTGAGGTTCTGGGTTCCATGCCCAGCATGGCCCCCAAGAAGTAAAGGAGAGTAGAGTTACTGGCCTCTGCTGCTGAAGACGATGAAGATTCCTTTTCTGGCGATGTCCAGTGCACGTCACCAGCTCTCTCTTCCACATCTGGGGACCTATGTGTCAGGTTACAAGGCATCGTGGTCTTGCTGTTAGGAGTCAGAGCTTGTCCTACATGGGTGACCGTGCTCTGGGCCAGTTGCTGTCTGTCCATCCAGTTCTAATGGCAAACAGTTCCTTCCTCACCATTGTTCTTTGCTTTCAGATTGGCTGCTACGCAGCTATGAAAAAGAAAATCTATGCCATGGGCGGAGGCTCGTATGGAAAACTGTTTGAGTCTGTAGAGTGTTATGATCCACGGACCCAGCAATGGACGGCCATATGCCCACTGAAAGAGAGGAGGTGAGGCAGAGTGTGTGTGCCCATCAGCATGCTACTGTTGACGTATGAGGCCTCAGAAGCTAGCAGCCCCTAAGACAGAAGGCCCATACGCACATAGAACGCAGAGCATTGCAGGTACAACAAGCAACAAATGCGGGGAGATGGCTCAGTGTGTGGTGTGCTGCGCAAACATGGGGCCCAGCGCTCAGATCCCCAATATCCAAGTAAATGTCAGGCAGCTGGTTCCAGCACTGGAAAGATAAAGACAAGGGGTCCCTAAGAAAGCTGGCTAGCTGGACTACTCTATAGGCACACTCTGGATTCAACTGAGAGAGCTCACTTTAATGAATAAGGAATCACTAGTACCATCAGCGTTGGGCGTCACACACATACACGTGCACACACATGTGCCCATACATAAAAAGACAAACAGGAATTGGGTTGGGCACGATGGCATATGCACAGCACTTGGAGACTACTGAGGCAAGAGGATTGCTGTGAGTTCAAGGACAGTCTGATGTACGTGGTGAGTTCCAGCCTACCCTGAGATCTCAACAAGAGCAGTAGTGAAGGAATTAGGGCTGAGGTCCTGTGTTCTAAGCCAGCGCCTGTGTTCTGTGGCCACGCAGGTTTGGAGCAGTGGCCTGCGGGGTTGCCATGGAGCTCTATGTATTTGGAGGCGTCCGAAGTCGAGAGGACATCCAGGGCAGCGAGATGGTCACCTGCAAGTCTGAGTTCTATCATGACGAGTTTAAGAGGTAATCAGTCTGGAGATGCTCACGCCTGCTTTCTCTCCCCATGCAACAGTCTTGAGGTTCTCCCTCCTGTCCACTCCCTCCATGCTTCAGAGATAGATGTATTTTAGCTTTGGTTCTCAGTGACTGTCATTGAGTTCTCTGCTCAGGGGGTGTGTCCACTACATGCTGGATATTTTTTCAGTGACTTGAGAGGTTGGTGTCTGAGTTACTTGCTGTTTCTGTGGTAAGACATGATGACTAAGACAGCTTAGAGAAGAGCACATGTCACTGGGCTTACGGTTTCAGAGAGTTAGAGTCCATGAGGGTGGGGCAAAGGCGTGGTTGTAGGAAAAACTGAGGGGTTACATTTTCATCCAAAAGTTGGAGGCAGAGAGAAAGAGAGAGACAGAGAAACAGAGTGACAGAGTGAGTGTTCCTCTCTCTCTCTCTCTCTCTCTCTCTCTCTCTCTCTCTCT